CGCATGGGGCTGTTATTTGAAAGTTTTGAAGAAATTTAAACCGGAACACAAATTATTTTATTTCTTAAAGAGAAAAAACGACAAAAACTTGAGGGTGTTTAGAATACCTCTACACAAAAATTAAATTGTCAAAAGAGAGGCAATAAAGGAGGTACCGAAAAACGTGATGTTTATATGAAAATATGGCTTATGTGTTGACAACAAAAAAAAAAACAATGTTGTTAGAATTGTTGTTGTCGACTTTTAATCTTCTTAAAAATTGTTGTTTTTCCCATTTGCCTGACATTTTGAATAGAAGAAAGAAATCAGTTAATATAAACAAAAAAAATCAATACTCGAGTCATCGAAGCGGAATCACCTTTCCGTTATAGAATAAATGTCGCCGCCTTCCAACGTTACGCAGACAAAGCCAACGCTAGCTTGCCGCTGCTACTGAGATTTGACTTTCGTTTTATTGATGTCAAATGTCATTTATTTGCTGCCGTATCTTCCTAATTGGATTCCAAATGTTACCCATAGATGTGCAGCACAATGTAATTTCTTTGCTCGCCCTTCTTTGTTATCAAAAAATCTGGGTCAAAAATGGAAGTGATTTTTTTAGCATGAAAAAAAAAACGTAAGTGAGGGTGTATTGTCAATGTATTGGTGTGAAGGTGGCGCGACTTAGACTAAATTTTGACAAATTTGTTATATAATCGAATTGGTTATATTTTGACACTTTGGATTCTCAGGAGGCCCTTTCAAGTGTCTTAACTTTAAAAAATTTAACCAAAATACCCTCTCAGACTTACTTACCCTTTGTGACGAACTTTCGCAATGTTGGTCAATATTCGGACAGAGGCTTGTTATATCACTACGACCCGATCTTGGGTGATTGAAACACTTTGATCTAATTTCAACACTAAATTTGTTAGGGTAGATACCCCTCAAGCATGAAAATAAATGGATCTTCCCATCTCGTCGAGCTGAGTCGATCTGGCAATGTCCGTCCGAAATTTTGCATTGGGACAGGGTTTGGGTCAGAATTGAAACCCAATGTTTTTGAAGATGTACATTTAGGGGTTAAAATGGACCAAAACAAATTAAAATTTTCCTGATTTTGCAGTCGATCTATAGGTCATAATTGAAAACCGATCGTCACGAAATTTTGTATGAGAAGAGGACGACCATTGGATTATATTTAGCTTTAAACTGGACCACAACTTTCGTGAGAAATTGTTTTGAGTACCTAACAACAAGAGGGAGCGCGTAAATATTGGGCAAATGAACCTCATCAAAAAACTAAGGGTAACATCTGGGCAGGGCTCTATGACATCATTTCAAAAGTGAAAATTTCCAAATTCGATTTTGACATAAGTGGGCTGTCAACATATTTTAGTGTTGAAGGGTATCACATGGTCGGCCCCGCATGACTATAGTCTTGGCTTACTTGTAAATTTTATAATTAGACCCTACACCACACTGTGGTACAGGGTGGTATGTCTTTGTGCATTTGTTTGTAACATGCAGAAAAAAACGAAATAGACCCATAGTTCCTTTTGATGATCTTCATAGAAACACATTCTGAGTCGATTAATGTCCATTTTTTTGGTAAACAAATTACAGGTCGCATTTATTGTCCGATTGCAATGAAATTTCCCACAAATTTTTTATTTGGCCCAAGAATGACCCATACTAAAATTGAGAATCGGTCCAAATGTATATACCTACCATATATATCTTCGTCCGATTTCAGTTTTATTGTTAGCCAGTGTGTAATATTCGTCCAAAATGGGATATTTATCGGCACCAGCGACCGAATTCGCCCGAGAATCAATTACTTCAAATTTGGTGAAAATCGTTCAAATATGGCTATATACTTATGTTTCATCCCTCTGATTCGCAATATCAACTCCAATACAATGATATTTGGTACCAGATATCTCATAAAGCTAAAAAATACCTCTGCCAAATTTTATCGAAATTGGTTTAGATTTGAATATAACATCAATATATATCACCTCAAATTGTATGAATTTTGGCATATTCAACCTAATTTTCAAATTTTTATTATTATTATTTTTATTATTATTATTATTATTATTATTATTATTATTATTATTATTATTATTATTATTATTATTATTATTATTATTATTATTGTTATTATTATTATTATTATTATTATTATTATTATTATTATTATTATCATTATTATTTTTATTATTATTATTATTATTATTAGTATTATTGTTATTATTATTATTATTATTTTTATTATTATTATTATTATTATTATTATTATTATTATTATTATTATTATTATTATTATTATTATTATTGTTATTATTATTATTATTATTATTATTATTATTATTATTATTATTATTATTATTATTATTAATATTATTATCATTATTATTATTTTTGTTATTATTATTATTATTATTATAATTATTATTATTATTATAGCCTTTAATTTATGAAGTTCAAAAGACGACCGTCAAATAGTCGCTGAAAAGTTGTAGGGTTTAAATATGGAGATTGGTAGTATCATGGACATATATGTTGCAACCATTTCCCTCCGTTAATGGTTTGGTCTTTCCCATACTTCCACATGGAGACAATTTTCAAAAATTATACCTTAATATTATTTCTCTTTTGCTGACAAATTATAATATATGTTTGTATGAATGTATGTTGCAATGTTTCGCATTTGTATCTTCAGTTTTTATTGTCCCAAGGTTCATTGCCACCATAATGTCTCCGCCTCCTCCTGCAACTATCTGCAAAGAAGACAATCATTCTTCATGTCAAGACGACGTTAAGTTTAATTTTGTTACTTGACAATCAGTTAAGCGTAACCCCGAAACGCATCAGGACAATGCTATATGTCTGTCAGACTTGTCTCAACTGAATTATATACTTGACTTACTTTTTCCGCCCTCGAACATTCGGTTGGTTAGGCGACTTGCAGTTTTATTGTCTTAACGATGCACCCATTGCTCTCAACACAAAAAAGAAAATGGCAGAAACTTTCATAGAGACGGGGAGGGGGTGGAAGTAGAATACGGCTAAGAAAATAAACGTTAATTTGTTTAAGAGTTGCTTGTCTCAAACAATAGCAATTAGATGTTGTGTTAAAGTTTTGTTGTTTTTTTTTTTTTTTTTTTTTTTGGTGTTGTTGCTGTGACAGTTTTTCTTTTTGGTTCGCATCTATTTTCATTTGGCAGTCAAAGTTTTTCGTTTGCATTTAAGAAAGGTGTTTTTGGGAACATGATGGAGCATAGTTCCGCTTTAAAAGTTTTTCATGGTCATGATTATTGATAGAGGGTGGAGAGTGCATTAGGAGTATGGAAAATTGTGAATTTGGGGTTAGAGTTTGATGTTTTTCCTGGCTGCCAGTTTGATAACTAACTCCCTTAAAGTATGCACCAAAAATTCAATGTAGAAATCGAACAATAAATCTTTCTTATAGCCTCCACCTCAGTATGGAGAGTATATTAAGTTTGTCATTCCGTTTGTAACACCTCGAAATATGCATTTTAGACCCCACAAAGTATATATATTCTTGATCAGCATAAAATTCTATGTCGATTTAGCGAGGTCCGTCCGTTTGGTCGTCTGTGGAACGAATAACATTTAACTCAAATTATGTCTGTAGGTATTGAAAATGGATCATGTAGGTCCACGTCTTTGTATAGCCCCCATATAATTGTATATCCCGATATTCGGTATTTTGATGATTTAGCGACATTATTCACCGGAATTGCTTCAAATTTCGTATTTGAATATAGTAATGGATTTTGCAGCTTAAGACAGAAATTTGTCTGTGAAGGTCCACGCCTTCATATAGCCCCAATATAACGGTACCTCCCGATATTAGGTATTCTGATGATTTTAGTGACATTATTCATCGGACTTGTTTCAAATTTGGTATTTGAAGTTCGTAATGCATACTACAGCCTATGACAGAAAATGATCTGTGCAGGTTCACGTTTTGGTATATCCCCCTATAATGGTACCTCCCGATATTCGGTATTTTGATGATTTTATCGACATTATTCTCCGGAATTGTTCCAAATATGGTATTTGAAGTTCGTAATGGATACTACAGTCTATGACAAAAAATTGTCTGTGCAGGTCCACGTCTTCGTATAGCCCCCATATAACAGTACCTCCCTATAATCGGTATTTTGATGATTTTAGCGACATTATTCACCGGAATTGTTTCAAATTTGGTATTTAAAGTTCGTAATGGAATGCTATAGCCTAAGACAGAAAATTGTATTTGCATGCCCACGTCTTCGTATAACCCCCATATAACGATAGCTCCCGATATTCGGTATTTTAATAATTTAGCGACATTATTCATCGAAATTGTTTCAAATTTCAGGTTTGAAGTTCGTAATGGATACTAAAGCCTGTGACAGAAAACTATCTGCGCAGGTCCACGTTTTGGTACCTCCCAATATTCGATATTTTGATGATTTTAGCTAAATTATTCAACGTTTTTTTTTATGTTCGCATTTGAATATTGTAACGGCTTATGACAAAAGTTGTCTATGCAGAACTTACAGCTTTTTTACTTTTTCTTCAAAACTTGGGAGCGATTACTTTGAAAGCAAACATATGTTGTTCATAAGTAAATACACGTTTTCTCCAGTAATTCAAAATTCAGCATAGATATGAACAAGCCTAGTTATCAGTTTTCGCCAAATCCTGAACACAAAATACCAAAATGTGCTATGCTGTACCTTCAAATCCTCCCCTAATAGATTCTAATTTCAATTTCATAATTTATTACTCAATTATTGGCATGATTCCTTGTAATAATTGAAATTGATCTGAACATAAATCTAAAAATAGCTATCGAATTAGAAATTTTGCACAAGAAAAAACTTCAAACCATTTTATGCACATCAAAAATCCGCACATAAATAACTCAATATTTTTTTTTTGCACAAAATACCAAGAAATCATAAACTAATAACCCAATATTTTCTCTATTTTTATTGCAGATTCTATTACTAACCCGTCAGTCAGTCCATCGGAGATTTAGTCTGGCCGTCTCGATGCCGCTGCATAAAAGCCCATGCAAAGGAACAGCATTAATGTATTTCGTCCAGCAAATATAACACCATCCTCAAAAACAAAATAAAAAAACTATAAAATATCAAAAACATTAGGAAACATAAACAGTCGCCGCCAAGAAAAGAATATCTCAAGGAGACAGAAGAACGAGAGGGCGTGCTGAGCCAGCAAAAAGGCAACAAATTCCATTTAGCTTTTCATCCCCAGGGAATGTCTCATGATACAAACAAGAAAATGTTGGATCGCGAAGCTGTACGTTCTGTCATACAACAATGGAATGCAAATCGTTTGGACTTGTTTGCCCTATCCGAACCAGATGAGGTATGGTATTAGAAATTATGTTACTCGCACACATGTGTGTGTTGTGTAAATGCATAAAATTATTTTTTATGTTCGTTTTATGTTAATATTGTACAATTCAATTCTCATGTTTTGTTTTTTTGCTTTTCTCTCTTACAGAATCTACTCTTCCATGGTGTGATGCGTTTTTACTTTCAAGATGCCGGTCAAAAGGTTGCCACCAAATGCATACGTGTTGCATCAGATGCCACCGTTATAGATGTTATAGGTATGTATGCCTGTTGCTTTTTTTCGAATGATAAGATAATATGTAACGATAAGATTGTAGGGCGCAAACATAAAAAGTAGGTTAACACAAAGAAGAATGTTTTCATCAAAGAATGCTTGGAATGTTCCATTGTTTTTTGTGACTTCCGTGATTCTTTTTTATTTTATGTTGAGATTGAAAAAATGTTGTTGTCCCCACCTACTCTCTTTGAAACATATGTAGGGGCTTCTTTAAAAATCGTAGTTTTATTGTAGTTTCAAGAGTTTTTGTGAAGTTTGAGTCATGATTCAAACGAGGTTTTTTCTTACCTCCCTATTTGGTTTTTCCAATATTTAACAAAATTACAATCCTTATTAAATTTTGAACATTTGTGAAATCCTGGCAATCAATGTAAGCCACTTCTTAGGTCTATAATCACAAGCGAACGTTTTCTCCTTTCGGACATAAAAGTTTCTATAGCTTGTACTTCACCTTAGAAAGGAGGGTATATTAAATTTGACATTCCGTTTGTAACACCTCTAAATATTCATGATTAGCATAAAATCCTAAGTCGATTTAACGATGTCCGACTGTCTGTTGAAATCACGATACAGCTCACATTTTTGACGTAGAGCTTTAAAATTTGACACAGTAGTTTGCATTGTGTCTAAGATGGTTGATATTGAAAATAAGATATATCGGTCCACGTTTTGGGATTGCCCCCATATAACGGTAACTCCCGATATTGGGGACTTAGGTGGTTTTAGCAACAAATTTCCAGAAATTTGTCTAAAAATGAGTATTTGATGTTTCTAATGGGTTCCAGCTTCGGTGACAGAGCATTGGTTGTATAGGTCCACGTTTTCATATAGCTCCCATATATAACGGTACCTTCCGATATTCGATATTTTAATGGTTTTAGCCACATTTTCCTCGGATTAGTCTACAAATTGGTATTTATAGTTCGTTAAGGGTTCTAGATCCGGAGGCGGAACATTTTATGGTATAGCCCTCATATAACATTACCTCCCGATATTCTGTATTTTGATGATTTTTGCCAATTTTTTAACGGATTTGTCTAAAAAAGGTAAACATATGTCGTTCGAAATAGACTCTAGCTCCGATAGAGGAACATTGTAGATATAGGTGCACGTTTTCGTTTATCCCCCGTATAACGGTACCTCCTGATATTCGGTATTTTGATAGTTTTTCCCACATTTTACTACGAATTTGTCCATTTGTTCGTAAAGGGTTCTAGCTTCGGTGGGTGAATATTGAATATCTAGGTCCACCTCCAAATATTTATTATTTAGACGATTTGAGCAACATTTTCTAATAGATTTGAGTAAAATTTGGTATTTATACTTCATAATGGGTTCTACAACCTGCGTGAAAACATAGTCCATATTGGTCCTAGTCATTCTAGTCACATTTACCCACAAAATTGTGTAAAAGCCGTCATTTTGGAATTGTTGGCCAGCTCTTAAGCATCGGTCTCATCTCATTTGCATTAAGCCTACAGTATTCGGAATTAATCCCCCATCACCCCTTTATTTCAAGATCTTGATATCTCACAGTATATAATTGTAGCTCCTTCTCCGTCGAACTTTGCCAAAGAGGCAGGGTTAACTGGCTATTATTAGCAAGACTTTAGAGCAACCTGTCTATATAAATTGTGACCAACAAAACTGCCGAACTTATCATCTTTGGCATTACCAAAGCTTTCAATGTTATAAAGATAGACATGGTATCCTGAAACTGATGTGCCATGAGCCCACTCAAACCTTTTGCAGAAATAAAGTTAAAGCAGGTCTTCCTTTCCTTCTACTCAGCATTCCTTTCCAGGCACTTGTCTTACGAAGAAAGGCATAAATATGTCCCTCCAAAATCAGTACCAAAAAAATAGAAATTTTATTCTTACAGGTGCATAAGTAGAACGCCTTAAGTTTCGTTTAGAACGCCTTAAGTCACCTCTGAAAACGTAAATAATCTTCCAAAAATTGAAATTGGTGGACCAAATCTATCAGGCACTTTGAGTATCCAATTAACTACTAGAAGCTGTAAGGGAGGTGTGAGAACTGCCGCTGCAGAGTACCTATAGTGACCAAAATCTTCTATGTATTTCTCATGCTGTAGTTGACAGCACTATGCTTCTTCTCTTCGAGGGAAATTTCGGGTCCTTATTTGCAATTCCATCACTCACTTCGTATGGACTTGAGATTGTATAATTTTTGGGACGAGGAAAACTGCCTCACCGAAGGCTTATCGTTGACGAAGGCTGGCTGTAATTCAGATTGTGCCTACCTTACTCTCAGGTATCTTAAATGTATCTTAAATCCTATTTTTTCTGAATGACTTTCTCTGAATAATTAGCTTTCCTGAAATATATTGACATCTTGCTCAGGCGGTTACCATTAACAACCTTTCAAACGAATTTCCGTCATTTCTGGGTAATTTTTGAAATATTTGTTTTAGGTTACACTCATTCCTTTTGTTTCATTAGAAATTTACAGGTCCCAATGTAGAGGATATACTTTGGAGAGTAATCTTTCGAATATAAAATATTCATATATTCCCCTTGACTTTTCTTTATATTTATAAATAATATCGAAATCATTTTTTTATTCTACAGATACCCTTATTGAAAAATTCCGTCCTGACATGCGTATGCTGTCTGTACCTAATTATGCTCTGTACGAAGTACATGCCAATGGTGAGGAGAGGCGACTAAATCCCGATGAGAAGCCACTTTTAGTGCAACTAAACTGGCATATCGATGATCGGGAGGGAAGATTTTTACTCAAGAATATTGATCAAAAGACCACAGTAAGTAAACCCGTAACTTTCAAAATTAAATTTTTAATATAAATTCTCTTTTCTTTCAACAGCCAATTGAACAGAACGACATCAATTTCAAGAGAAAACTCTCCAAACGTGAGAAGAAAGAACAAAAGAAAAAGGAGAAATTGGCCAAACTAAATACAGATGGCAGTAATACCACAACAAATAGTCAAACAAATGGTCTCAACGGGTCTCATGGCACCGATGCAGGTGAAACACAAGTTGCCGGCAAACTGTATACCGAATTGCCGGAAACATCGTTTACACGTTCCATATCAAATCCTGAAGCGGTTATGCGTCGCAGACGTCAACAGAAGTTGGAAAAGAAACTGCAACAATTTCGTTCAAGAGATGGTGGACCCGATACGGGCGGAACATTAAAGATATATGGTGAAAGTTTGTGTCAAGATGTGCCTTATAAAACTCTCCTACTGTCGATACGCGATTGTGCTCAAGCTGTTGTCCGTGAGATGTTGACAAAATACGGACTGGATAAGGCGGATCCGTTGCATTATTGTTTAGTACAGGTTTGAGGAGATTTATTTGACGTAGTTTTTGACATTTGAGATAAATTTTTGTTTTAAATTGCGTAGGTCAACAGCGATGGCTCGGAATACATACTCGATGATGATGAATGCCCCTTGTCGATACTAATGAATCATCCAACATCTAGAGGTGAGTTTTGGAAATTAAGAATTTTCAATTATTTAAATAGAAAAGAATTTGAATTACAATTTATTCTTGTTAATGGTGATCCTGAAAGAATGCATTTTAAAGATTGTCTCAAAAATCGGAATATATGACCCTGCCCTTTTATATTTTTAATAGTCACATTCCGCAATCGTATTAGATGTACACACATACATTTCACAAGTACCAAAAAGCAATTTTAATTATTTCCAATTTAGATATGAAAATATTGGCACATTTTGTGGACTCTCCATTCAGATTCGTTGTATATTCATGTCTTGTTTTTAGAAAAACCATACCTTCTTATTAAACCTAAAGATGGTATTCCATCAGAACTTAGTCTGTTTGATGGCTAAACTTATTTTATTTATGTTAAGAGGGCATTGGTCCTGAATAATGCCAACTATAATGAATATCAATCGCAGCTTTTATATTTGTCTATCTTTGAAGTATGAATCCCAAAAGCGGTCCGCCATAATTTTTACATTTTTTTCTTAATATCATTGTTGCCCGAATGTTGCTCTGCGGTATTCCCGGCGAAGCGCTTGCTTGAGATGATCGACACTTTGGTATTTTTTAGTTGCTTCTTTCCAAAATACTCCAGACACAATAGGCCAACGGATTGGTATCCGGAGATTTTGGTGACCATTGTGCGCTGGAAATGAAGCGAGGAACCTCATTTTGTAACCATTCTTGGTTGGCGAGTGCTGAGTGCGATGGTGCTGTCCTATTGGAAAGTCCAAGGTCTGCGGCCAAAATGTTTGCATGCCCAAGGCTTTAATACACCCTCCAGAATATTTTCGCGATAATATTTGGCATTTATTATGATGCCACGGTCGATTAATACGAGTGGAGAGCGACCATCGGCTGTTATGGCGGCCCACACCATCACCTTGGCCGGCGCTTGAGTTCTGGTGGCCAACCGAAGGTGCACATTTCCAGCTGACCTCTTTGGCAAGTAAACATTTGTAAACATTTGTTTGTTTGTTTACAAACTGCTGGACAACGAATGTTTTCTCATCGGAGAAAACCAAATTCGACAGTTCGCCACTTTCGGCCAAGCGAAGCAACTCTTTAGCTCTTTTGAGTCTGTTTTCTTTCTGTTGCGGTGTAAGTTCTTGCACTTTTTGAAATTTCAGTGGCTTAACCCCGAGCTCATTTTTCAATATTTGCCGAATGGAATATTGCGATATGTTCAGCTCCCGGACCAATTTTTCGGCCACTGCGACGCGGGTTTCAATCAAGTCGCTTCTTTACTTTTCGAACCATTTCTGCTGATGTTGCTGTTTTCTTCCGTCCACTTCCTTGACGTCGGGCTACGCTACCAGTATCACGGTAACGAGCGATGGTATGAGATGCAAAATATTTATTTACATTTACATGCTGGAGTGCTCTAACGACAGCCACTTGTGGCTTTCCAGCCAAATATAATGAAATCACACTATCACACTTGAATTCCCTCACGAATAAATTTTTTTTTTTCTGGAAAATTCTCACCAAAATGCCTCTGTATACTTGTGGACGATATAATGAGCTTTCACTGGAATAATTTTAACTGCTGTCGGACGAGTGGCTTAGAAATAACAGCAGTCTGAAGTTGGTTGCAGTTTTTTCATCTCACCCTGTATATATTTTTTATATTAGATCACCTTTTCCGAAAATAGGGACATATTTGGATTCCGATTTTAATTTATTTCGAATCATTTTCCCCAATTCTAATCCAACCTCTCACCAATTGCTTTACACTCTCTGTAGTTTATGATATAATCCATTCAATTCATAATCATATTCATTGTTATAAATTGTTTCTTTCCTGTCGGCCAATCTCCCAAGAAATAATACCGTTCAAATTAAAATTGTTCCTCAGAGCACTAACATAAATATTGCCAAAACAACTTCATTATTTCATACTTAACTGTGAAATTATGTTAAACTCGCAAGGGCAAATCAACATAATAACAAAAAGGGAAAAATGAACTCTCCATCATGCTGCATAATCCTAGGCCACAATATAATGGGCCATCATCTATCATAAATAACACAACCCAACAAGGACTGCTTGGCGAAGCAAACGAGAGAACCTACACAAGCAGGCATTTTGCAAGAATACAATCCAAATACCTGTAGTAGGAAAAGTATAGAACATTGTATTGGCGGGCCGCCTGCCTTTTATGAGCCACATTATGCTGCATAACATTAACATGCAATTAGAAGCCTGCCTGCCAGCCAACAAAGGAGAGTAGGCATGTTTTGTCAATAATTGTTATGACTAGACTTGTAGGAATGTTTTAATAACAGCTCGACGTCTAACTAACTGACTAAACGGTTGAATATAAAGAGTTTTTTGTCTGTAGTTTTTTTTCGTGAAAGTGAAATATCCTTACACTAACTCAAGGGTAAGTTAGCTGGCTGGCTGGCGTTGTCTAGCAAAATTTGTTTTGTTGTTTTTTTTTTCGGACCTGCTGGTTGTTTGGCAATTTTTTCCATATTTTTATTTTTTGCTTGTGTCGTTATGATTTTGTTTTTTTCTGTTTGGTTTGTTTATTTATTTTGGTTACCTTAGCTAGTTCAGTTGTCAATTGGAATTTCAGTCATCAACTTCGAGGCGTGTTATTTGAGACGAGTTTGTTTTTTTGTGAAACTATTTTTTTTCGCTGTGTGATTTTAAATTTAAGTGAAAGAATTTTTAATTGTGGCTATTCAGTTTTCGTTTGGAATTTAATAGCAAAATGCCGTCGAAGAAAAGTGCCCGGGAGTATTGCGATAAGCTTTGTAAGTTAAGAGAGAATAATAAAAACTTAAAAAAAAATCTTTGATGAAGACAATATTTATTAAAATATTTTAAATTATTTATAAAAAAAAAAAAATGTACAAACTGTTCTGAAACTCAATGTTTTTTTTTTTTTTGAGTTCCAAAATGTGCTGTTTTTAATGTAGATAGATGGAATGTCACCTATAAATTTTCAGGATGAAAGCAAACCTATAAGTTCAAATTCTGGGAAGAATACCCTCTAAACGTTTTCTGTATACATTAAAGTTCCTATATGTAGAAAAAACCCTAAAAATAGATTGAGTGAAGAGGCTCTAGAGGAGTTGTATTGATAATAGCCGTTATGAAAATGGATGGATAATAGGTTTTCTTCAGATGAATTTATTTTAAATCCTTTTTTTTTTTTTTGCATTGAAGATAGAGTGAAGATCTAAACATAAATAGCTTTCTATGGGTCTACCATTGATTGAAGGTATTTTAGAGATGTTTTATTGATGGGAAACATCCCGAGGAAAACTTGCTACCTCAGTAAATGAAGAGGGATGGAAGCATACGTTTTCTACAAATTGATTTTATTCTCATTTCCCATTTTTGGAAAAATATCTACTAAATTTTTTCAAAGTACATTCAAGTCTCTATAGGTCTTTTTCATTCAAGTCTCTATAGGTCTTTGTGTATAGCATAGAGGTGTTCTCTAGAGATTGGATCTTCTAAAAATGTGATTTTCCTATAGAATTTCCTATATTTTTTATTAATTTAAAGAAGTATTCTATTTATAGAGCATTTAATAGAGTTTAACTAGAGCTCCTCCCGATATTCGGTATTTTGATGATTTCAGCGATATTATTCACCGGAATTGTTTCAAATTTGGTATTAAAAGTTCGAAATGGATACTACAGCCTAAGACAGGAGATTGCCTGTACAGCTGCACACCTTCGTATAGCCCCCATATAATGGTATCTCCCTATATTCGGTATTTTGATGATTTTAGCTACATTACTCACCGATTTTTTTAAGTTTCATAGTTAAATATTGTAATGGCTTATGCCAAAAGTTACCTATGCAGGTCCATGTCGTCGTATAGACCCTAATATAACAGCTACATTCGGTACTTTTAAGATTTTCACAGAATTTTTAACGGATTTTATTATTTTTGAGCTAAATTCGTTCCAAAGTTCGGACCGGCCGAACTTACAGCTTTTTTAATTGTTTTAGGATTCTCTTGGTATTTTGAGCTGCTAACCAAATACTTTTACTTCCACTTGGACTGCTATATGACTCTGCAAATCGAGAAACTCCACTAAAACTGATATAGATGGAAGACCTTCTATGGGTCTTCCAAAGATATATCTTCCGTAGGTCTTCTGATAATGGAATATCTAGTATATCTCCTCAGCACGTAGAATATGTCAATAGGTCTTTTAAAATACCTCTACAATTAAAAAGCCATATTCTATAAAATAAAGTTCTTCTGTAAAGTTATGTTTTTCTGAGATAATTATTCTACTTTAAATAAGTTCTGAGAGTCTCCTATAAACATCAAATTATCCCATCCTATTTCCTGAAATCCCTTAAAAGATATGAGACCTCCTAATTGTATTCTACAGATAAAATACTTTCTACAGGTATAATTTGTATATAAGGCCTCCTAAATGTATTCTATAAAAAGGGTCTCAAAGCTTTCTATAGACAGTATAACTTCTAAAGGTCTCCTAAAGTCCTATTGCCTTCTGTATTTAGAATTGCCTCTTGGGATTTGATCTGCAAACCGAACACTGACTTATCCACTTGGACTTTCCACATGCCCTAGATTACTGCACAGTATTATAAGTAGACCATTTTCTTTTTCATAGAAAAATGTAACCAAATTGTTTTCAAAATTTACTTTTTGATATTTATATATGATTTGTTAATTCACTATTTTTTTTTTTTTAAATTATTTTTATAAACCACATTTTCCTCTCAGTGTTGTATAGCCTGGAAGTGTGATACACGAACAGCTGATTTCTACTTCCAATGGCAACTCATACAAAATACACCTCAAAAGGACACAAAAAAACACATAACTTACAATCAAGAGAGCATGCGCTAAATTTCATATGCTTGGCCAATTTACATGCGGTCCATACATGTTCGAACAAATACACATGTTGTAAACTAGCATAGAGAAGAAGGTATGGGGTTTCCACTGAGACCGGTGGCCCATCATCTTCGCCTTCTGCAATGGGGAAATTGGACATGAGGGAATTTTTTTTTATTTTGTTTATTTTATTCTGTTTATTTTCTATTGTTTGAGAGGAAAAGGTCAATAGCGAGATTGTGGGGGATGGATGGATAGATGGCAGTATAAACGTCTGTGGCATGCATGCATGCCATCGTTTATGGCACCTTAAGTTTGCCGGTATGACTTAAACGACGGTACACAATTGCCATGGAACATTTCCTTCTTACACATTTGGACCATTTAACATGACGTTTATTGTTATAATAAAAAATAACAACATTATCCTCCTCCTCACTACTTTAGTTGCGTTTATTGTCGGTTTGAGGCCGCAATTCTCTTTCAAGTATATTAAAAAAAAATACAAAACAATAAGGCTGACATTTAAAAAAAGGACATTTACAAACGGAAATGTCAAAATGAGGAAACCAAGCCAATTCACAACAAGTACTTGGCTTATATATAAAAAATGAGGTAGGACGTTTATTGTTCAGGCTTCAATCCTTTTTTCCTGCTCCAAACCTCCCTGGACATTTAGACAGCTTGTATTAAATGTTTTATATAAGGAACTTACGCCCAATGAAATATTTTATAAAGGAAACATCTTTAGTTTTATATTTCCATAAAATAATCTGTTTGAATTGTCCTCTAATTGCATTGTCTTTAAATATTCCCCAATTTTTAAACTAGCTTCTAAGAATCTAAATTTTCGTTATCACTGCATACCACCCTCCTGTGTACGTAAACAAATATTCCAAAGGTTAAATTCCGCCGTTACGGCCATTTTACAACTGAAGATATCTTGAAATCTCATTCAAAAGCTTCTTAAGTTAAATGGGTCATTTGTTTTTAATAGAGCCACACCGCAACGCACAAATGCTATGCTAGGATGTTTATCCTTCTCCTCCTCTTTCTCTTCCTAACGCTGTACTTGAAAAATAACAACCACTCTGGCTGAGAGCAGCGACCAAAGCCAGGACATGTTGACTGTGGTTAGTTTAGCGAACAGCCAGCCGATTTGAATGTCGACTTGTTTTTGCATTGCAACATGGTTTACTTCCGTTCGTTCTCTTGGATTTTTTTCTTTTTTTTGGGAAAAGAACAATCTGAATACACAATGACATAAATAAATAGTGGATGTTGGCATCTACGAAGTAGTTGAAATTTTGGTTTTAGTTGTTGTTTTTGTTTTGTCTTGAACGAGACCATTCTTTGGTTACTTTTCTCAAAAGGATGTTGTGTCTGAAATATTTATTTAACTGTGGTGTGGTGTTGCAATCAAACAAGTGAATGTTTAGTTAGTGGGGAACGGTGTCGCCTTTGGGACAGGGAAATGTGGAGTCTGAAGTGAGTAAGTAAAGACGCAGAATTTAAAGAGAAAAAATAGTTCTAACAGAGATCCTGTAGGACTTATAAGCTGATTATATCTTTAAGAAATAGCAAATCTTCGAAAGTGTAAAGCTGGAATATCTTATAAAAGTCTTGTGGTTGATAAGAGGTTCTCTTAAGGTCTTCTAAAGGGTACCTTGTACTTACTAGACACAGATAAGATACTTAATAGACACAGATAAGGTACTTGTCAGATAAAGGCACCCCAATAGTCATCTTTAAGGAAGAATTTCTCATAAAGGTCGCTTATACCTAGAAGACCTCCTAAAAGTCTTTCACAAATAGAAGAGCTCATCTTGTTCTTCCATTTTCCTATGGGCCTTCTTTATATAGCTTGTCTCTTTAAGGACTCTTTTTGAGAAATCCTATACGCCTTTCGTATGTGAAAGATATCAAACCAATTTTGTACAGATTAAAGTCCTGAGGGTCTTCGATTTATAAAGATTTCCTTTGAATCGTATCTTTTGTACCCATAAATGTGGAACCTCTTTTATTTTGTGTATGGAAGGTCTCCTAAGGACTTGTACAAATTAAAGGCCTACTAAATGTCTTCTGAAGATGTAAGGCCTATCGAAATGTTTTCTGTAGATGGAACACACCAATGGGTATTTGTAGGCGAAAGATTTCCAAAAAAATCTTAAGAAGATTATTTTAGACCTTCTCTTAATGGAAGACCTTCGGCAGGTTTGGTGTGGACTGAAAATCTCCTATAGATGTGATCTCCTAAAGATTTTCTGTGGACGGGAGGCCTTCTGAAGATGTAAGGCCTGTTGTAGGTAGTTATGCAGGCGAAAGATTTCCAAAAATCTTCTATAGAGGGAAGATTTTTTAAAGATTACTTTTAGACCTTCTCTAAATGAAAGTCCTTCGGCAGGTTTTGTGTAGACTGAAGATATCCTATCGATGTAACCTCCTAAAAATTTCCTGTGAACAGAAGGCCTACTAAAGGTCTTCTGAAGATAAAAGGTCTGTTGTAGGTCATATAAAAAGAGGAGGTTAAAAATCTCCTTTATATAAGTCCTCCCATTTGCCTTCAATGGATTCGATTTTCATCACAGGTTCGTCTGAATACAAAAATTCTCGAAAGGTCTTCCAGAAACTAAAAGTAATCTTCTACGAAATAAAGTTCTTCTATAAATGAAATAGCTCCTAAAGGTCCCCCATTGACATTAATCTCTCCTATGGACGTATGGATTTCCTAAAGGCCCTCTATAGATATAACAACTTCTAATAGTATTCTATAGATAAAATGTAAAATGTAGATAGTAGGACGTCTAAAGATCTCCCATGTAAACTTATTGTCATTCTGAAGTCCTCCTCCAAATATACGATTTTCAAAACGGACTACTGTAGAAAGAATAACATCTACACCCAGAGAAAAAATGACAACATCCGTGTATGAAATGACCACATCCGTGTATGATAGTGTATCAACCACGTTTGGTGTCAAAATGAGCACGCTGTTGTCATTTTGACACCGAGATTTTGGCAACGATTTCAACAACAGATGTGCATGAAATGAGCACATACGTGGCCCCGTTGTCAGATTGTCAACGCTTCGTTGTCAGATCGTCAACGCTTCGTTGTCAGATTGTCAACGCTCCGTTGTCGGATTGTCAACGCCCGTTGTCAGATTGAAATCAATGGTGGTCATTTTTTGATATCCGTTCCTTTTCCATTTTATACCCTTAGTAGAAGAAACGACATTTTTTGAAAAGTATTTTATTGAACGAAACCAATTACATAAATTCAATATAAATACATATTTGATTTAACAAAACAATTCGAATTACATATATTCAATGTATAGAAACAAATTAAATTAACTTAAATCTGAAATAAACTTTTCCATTATTCATAGGATATAAGTGAAATGGGTAAGTAATAAAATCTAAAATTGGTATTAAAAAAATTGTATCCTCATTCAGAGAACCAACTTCATACGATTGTAAATGGTAATCAAAGTTTTTAACTTTTACTTGGTTACATAAAATGTAAACATTTTCATTTTCAATTATTAAATGTTTAATTTTGAAAAGTTCAATTGCGGCATTATTTGTTGCTAAATAATAGTTTTTTTTATACCTAGTTCCCTTAAAAAAAATGTCATCAGACACTTTGCAATTTTGGTAATTTAAAACTGGCTTACTTTTTTTGTAACAATATTCCTCTTTTGCCAAATCTTCGATGGTATGCGTATTAATGATAACATTTGGTTCTAAGTTATCTTCGTGTTTTAATAAAAAATTGGAAAATTTCAATCCAGACTTAATAGATAATGAACGACAGGGATTTACTCTTGATGTAGTATTTCCTAAATAGGCTTTTGCTTCCTTGTGTTTAGCTTCGAATCTCATGCTCCAGAGATATTTAAGGGGACCACATTTTCGGATAGCTGTGGGATAGTGGACAAGAAAGTGGTGTTTCGGTTTTAACGAACCGTATAATGTTATATAAAGTGAATGGTGATCTCTAATTAATTCTTCCAATTTTATTAAATCGTCTTCTATATAACTTGGTCTTAAAAGTAAATCGATTATTTGTAATAATATTATAAAAACTTTCCAGTGATCGTTGGAGAAAGGAATTAAATCGCCTACCATTAAAGGTAAAAAATTAGTAAAACACATAGTTTCACTAGCTGTCATTTTTAAGTTATAGTTTCTATTCTGAATGACGTAAATTTTGTAAATGTTTGCTTACAGTTGTCCTGAACGCATTGTACTTTTAAAAATTTAGTGGACATTAAATGGTCTGTTTTCAAATGAGCTATTAAAAGATTTGCCTTATCAAAATGCTTACGGCAACGAAAGCAAATATACATTTTGAATTGTACTTTAATTATTGTTGCAGAAATTAATAAGTGAAGTCAAATTAACTGATTTTATATCATATACAGTATTAATTTCATAAAAATATTTTTGGATAAAAATCCATGGAATTTGGCAGGCATTTGGATATTTTAAAGAAAGTGCATGAAAAATTTTAAAACATGTATCTAAACATTCGAGGAACGATTGAAATTTTAACAAATTGTGGTTAAAAAAAACATAAAAACCTTTTATATTGAAATCGGACAAACCCTCCACAATTATAAATGGCTGTATAGTTAATCCAGCATTGTAATACTTTTCAGTGACTGTATCAATTTGCCTTTTATAATCGTTAATTGTCGGTAGTCGCAGTACGAAACTTTCCTGCGAATCAGCTATTGTTACTTTTTTTCGTAATTTACCGTTTCCACATTTAAACCTAGCAGGTGATGGTAAAACTGAATTCAACAGTATTGCGTATATATAATCTTGAGCATCTGCAACCGAAATATAAAATAAATATTACTTTTAATGTTTATGATAAATCAGGAATTAAAATTTACCTATGCTGCTTGCCGTCAAAACATTTGCGAAGAGTTGTTTGCAATGTTCGTTATGAATATTTTTCCCATAATAATTGTAAATTTTTTTCTTAAATTGGTCCCATTTAGAAAGTAGAAGATTGCCTTTCTGTGGATACATAATATCGAAATCAATGTTGACCTAAAACGAAACATTAGTATCCATATACAAATAAATAGCTCATGGCTACTTACCAATTCTGAAGCTCTTGCATCGGACAACTTCGTCCATTCAAGGAGAAATGTATGGCTACTTAAATTTTTTATATCTCTTTGCCGTATGTTAAAAGATCTTTTCCATTTTTCGCAGATCGATCCCCAATCATTACATTCTCTTAGTAAGGAAGCTTTCAATGAATTTTCAACTGATTCATCAATTTCGGGAACATCTTTGTTACAAAAATTAGGAGATGTGTGAGTTGCTGCTTTGCTTGTGCTAGGCTCGGAAATCAAAAGCTTTATTCTTTTGGACTTCTTGTTTCTATACTTGGCATAAAGTTTTCCGCTTGCGTTGTTCTTTCCTTTTCTTGAAATGTAATAATAATCCTAAAAATAAAGACATATTATAAGTTAAGAAACTACATAATCAGATACGTTGTTTATATTGTTAATCTTACCCTCATTTCGTTTTCAAGAGGAAAAACGGAACAATTCAATTCAATTCAATTCAAATTTTTATTGAGTCTTTTTTTTTTTTTTTAACACGAAAATTTACAATTTTGAAGTGAAGAAAGAAATACTTAAAACTATAATGTTTTGTTTTAATGACTAAAGCGTATTTTCAGCGTCTGGCTTTACAAAAATTGATAATTAGTGTTTACTAAACTAAGAGTGTATATCGTGCTTGCTCCCGGCACTACAATGTTTGAGAGCATGTCTCATTTTATTTACCTTAAAACTAACTTAACCTAAACCTAACCTACACTTAAACAACAGAGATGATCAAACGAAAGTTTGTTCATCTAAGTTGTTAACTAGCCCCTGTGAATTCCACGAGAGGTGCTAATGTAAAATTCTGGACACTGAATATCTTCCAGAGACATGTATAAGTCAATACCTAACGGTGAGACGTAATTAGTATTTTGCCACGTGAAATTAGATTCCTTATTAACACATTCCTGAATAAGCAAGTTTGAATGCATAAAAGCCCTGTTAGCGTAGTTTTTAATTAAACGCATAGCATATACTGAGATTGGGGTAACTTTCGATGCTTCGTATATATACCGATTTGAGAAACGCTTATTATGGTACTTAAAATTTTTTCCAACACAGAGACGAAGTATTTTTCTTTCGAATATCTCAAACTCTTTCATTACCGTTGGAGAGATTGGGAACCATATAGGTAGTGCGTACACCAGTACAGGCCTAATGCTTGTTTTGTAGAGCATTATCTTGGTTTTCGTCGGTAATGACTTGCTATTAAGAAGTCTTGCAAATGACCCCTTAATACCATATGCCTTACCTAAGTAGCCTCGCGCATTTGCATTAAATTTGAATAATTTATTGTACCAAACACCTAAATATTTAAATCTATCTCTAAATGGTATTTCTACTCCATTCAGAGACAACTTCAAGGACTTGCTTTCTGGTACAACCCATCTCTTACATTTCCCTGAAGCGTTCCTCAAACACATAGCCTCGCTCTTAGAAGTATTGATTTTTATACCCCAATCAGTATAGAAAGCATTAACTGTGTTTAAATGACAAGATACCATAGACAACGCCGCAGCAGGAGATTCAGCGTGCGCATACAAAAGACAGTCGTCTGCGTACAATACACCCAAAGAATTTTGCATAGTATGAGGGAAGTCATACATGTAAATATTGAATAGATGGGGAGATAAAATTGATCCCTGAGGAACACCGCATGACACATTCTCCACACATGATTTCAAATTTCCCAATTGTATATAAAATTTTCTATTGGTAAAAAAACTTTGAAATAACTTCACCACATTAGCTGCAAATCCTAATTCTGTCATTTTAAATAATATACCATTATGATATGTTCTATCAAATGCTTTTTCAACATCCAAAGAAACTGCGACAGTACATTTCCTTTCACGTAAATTAGAAATTATATCACTGCTAAATTTAGTCAAAGCATCTACAGTCGAATGCTCTCTTTTGAAGCCAAATTGATAATTTGGAATATACTCGGATCGTAAACCCTCATTCATTTTTTCACGTATAATTTTTTCAAATAATTTACCTACATTAGATAGCAACGAAATAGGCCTTAAATTGTTGATATCTGATGAATTTTGTTTCTTTTTGATTGGCAGAATCTTTCCAATCTTCCAGACTGTAGGAAAATATGAATTATTTAAGCAATTGTTAAATATGACAACTAGATACTGTAGTGCTTTTAAAGGAAGCTTGCGAAGGAGGTAGTTAGAAATATTGTCTAAACCACACGACTTTTTATTATTTAATTTCTCTAAAATTAGGCAAACTTTTTCTAAAGTTGTGAATTTACTGTCGTGTTCATTATTAAAAGATGTAAACTCAGCATTGAATTGAATAATTTGATTTGGCACATCGGCCAGATAGCTATTTACCGATGTCTCTAATTGAGTCACATCTCTATTCGGAGCTGGCCCATTATAAATTTGAGCAAAATGATTCCTCAATATATCCACTTTTTCATTTTCATCATTAATGACCACTCCATTTACTGATAATTCGTTATCTATCAAGTTCCTAGATTTCCCTATTAGTCCGTAAATTTGCCTATATGCATTAGGGCCTGGTTTAATATTCCTAAGTTTTTCATCAAACATTTGCGATTGTTCAATCTTTACCTTTTCTTTGATTAAAATCTTGAGTAGTTGAATTTGTTTGGATAATAATAAATACTGCGAATTTTGTCTATTCATTTGCCTGTGATATATTCGTTTTAGCTCCTTTTGCCAGTCGTGCTTTAATTTAAAAAGATGTTGTACCTCCCTTGATATATTATATTTCCTATTTTTCAAACTAATTCTCTTCGAATGTAGCGAGGACACACAATTAACTGTGGTACTAAAGTGATCAATATATGTGTCAATCTCACTGTTTGAAAGATTTGAATCATGGGAGGGGAAATGAACTTCCAATTCGGCGTCCAAATCGGCTCGAAACTGACTCCAGTTAGTATCTTTAAACGACATAAACACTTGGGGCTGTCTAATAAGGAGCTCAAGATCTCCGAATTTCAGTTCTAATTTCAATGCATAATGATCTGAAAATGTTGATAAAGTCTTTATACGGAAATTTGGCTGGAGAATATTAACTAAATTTGGACTGACTAAAAAATGGTCAAGAAATGAAGAACCATTTGGAAATGATGGCATAGAATCACACAATCTTATAAGTGAGTTATCATTCAGCCAACGTTGAAGTGATCTGCCATTTATATTTGTAAATGAATCACCCCAACATACGTTTTTAGTGTTTAAATCGCCGCCTATAAGTAGACAATCATAGTTTTGTGCGAAAGAATTTATATTTGACAAACTGCTGTAAATGACTGAATCCCCCAAGTTTGAAGCAAAGTAAACTGTGCCCAATAAAACTCTTTTTAGCTGACCGTCCATAATCATATTAACAAAAACAAATACATTTGGTACATGAAGATTTGGAATTTCAACTCTGGTAAAATCAAAATTATCCCGCAGAATAAGTGCTACTCCAACACCAATTTTATTTTCTAAAAAGACATAATCTCTTAATGAAACACGATGCCTTTCTTTTAAATGTGTTTCCTGAATAAAAGCGCAGTCAATCCTGTTCGAGTTTAGGATACTCAATAGGTCAATTCAAATTTCATCCAATATGCGCATATAGTCTTGAGTGTAAAGAGTAACATTGTTGGTTAAAATATCTTCAATAATTATATTAATTATATCATCTCTTTGCTCGTCACTTAATTTCTTATTAACGCTACTACATTCAAGCGCTAGTTTCCCCTTCGAGGTATGTGTTAACAATTCCGTTAGATCCTATATTAAATAAAAAAACTACATTAACTATGCTTACACAAATATTACTCTTACCTTACCTCTGACAAAATTCCTTTGGCTTTTGAGCAGTTCGAACCTGTAGTGTCGGGAGTACCAGGAGTACTTGCAGGTGTCTCGTTGCGTTTCCACCATTCACCTATTTTAGATGGAACTGACATAGTTTCGTCATCAATCCCGAGCTATTGTTATGACAATATTAATACTGAGTTCAACTCTGTAAAACAAATAATACGTACCTTTCGTTTTTTCCAAGCAAAGAGCTTTTCTCTGAATTCAACACGCAGTCCCAATGGTGGCACTGCTTCCTTTAAATCTTCTTTTTTCAAGTACTGCAAGCTGCGAAATGTTACATGTGATGCTAAAAGAACAAAAAAGAAAATTCTTTGTTAATTACACTGATTAACTGAAAAATTCATTTTTATTTACTTACCTTTTAATTGTTCAAAAAGCGACTCCATATTTATTCCTTTTAAGAACTCCCTTAACATATAATCGTCCTCATTGTTTTCCGCATCTTGACTGCTGCAATGGTTTGTATCGCGAACCACAACAATATTGCCATCGATTTCTAACAACTCACCAATGATATTTTGAGGATCTTGCGAATTATTATTCATTTTCAATAAATTTTTTGCACAATGCGTCCTTTCTCTTTCAATAACACGGAAAAAATGGTAAATATGCAGCCGATTGCACACGAGTAAAAAAAATGACAACGGTGGTGCATGATTCATACACGGTAGTTGCTAAAATGGCAACGATCGTGTACGATTCATGCACGTCGGTGTACAAAGTAACAACGGTGGTGCATCATTATGCAGGTGGTGGTGCATAATTCATACACGACCGGTGTCATATTGACAACGACCGTGTGTGAATCATGCACCACCGTTGTCATTTTTTACTCGTGTGTAATCGGCTGCAATTACCAATATTACAAATGGACAAATTAAGCACGGCTGTTGTTGGTACCGAAAGTTGACCACGTCTCGGTGTCAATTTGAGCACGTTCGTGCACAATTCACCAACAGCCGTTGTTGAAAAATATAACAACGGGTCGTTGCGAAAATGACAACATACGTGCTTGATTTCGCAACGGGATTTTTCCCTCAGTGTAAAGGAGATCTATAAGTAGAAGCCATCCTAAAGATATGCTATATTTTAAAGACCTACAAAACTCCTAAAAGTCTTCCATGGACGGTCTACGAATGGCTTCATAAGTAAAGGCCATGGATAGAAGACTTCTTCCTAAACACTTATATGGATAGAAGATTACCTAAAAGAGAAAAAGCTCTTAAAGTTATGCTACACATATGAGAATTCCCAAGACCTTGTATAGCTAATAACTTGTACATCTTCTTACACTTATTCTATTGACAAATTTCTTTTACGTAGATTTTTTATCTACCTGTATTTCCAGAATTTATTATCTTTTTTAAATTACCTACTGGGAATGGCCTTTCCTTCATATCATTTACTCACGAACCAACCAACAAACAACCACAAATATCCGATGAGCGGAAAATCTCTTGTTATTACTCTCGATTTTATTTCGCGAAATTTGAGTGTGGTTTTGATTTTATTTGTCTGCCATAAGACGCAAAAGTACATGAGATTGTAAACGTTTTCAAACGGCTCTCCTTATACACTTAACTCTCGTATCTTATTTGTTCCTTTTTTGCCTTTTCTTCATTGGTGGTAGATTTCACTTTAAACACGAACACACACAAAAAAAGAAAGAGCAGCCCTTTTGGCGCTCGGTATAGCTTGAAACTTTAATGTAATGTAATTACCATGTTACAAGTGACGCTTATAGCTCTTGACATTGATGATGAGCGAGCCGTTAGCATGGCAGCAAGGAAAAGGAAGCACAGGCAGCGAGAGTAAGGAACTAAATTGGAAGACTGACTGACTGGCAGGCTGGCATGTCGTCATTAAATTGTTTCAATGGTAGTTAATTGGCAACGTAATTAAATTAATAAAGGCTTTTAGCTAAATTTTTCGCAATAAAATATCAACCAAGATTTATTACCTTTGTAGCAGAGAGTTTATTAGCCAGGGAAGGGTTGAGAGAGCAAGGAAGCTAGGGAGCCGGTAACACTGCCACGTTGGCCATAAAATATGAAATTAATTAAAATTACCTTATAGCTCAAAAAGATGATGGGCCATTTTAAATGGTTTCATGACTTTTTTAAGGGAGAAATTGCAACGTTTTGTTGGTCGCTCCTAAAAGTATGCAATAAATTTTAATTGTAGTTGTAAAAAAATTCATATTTATACTTTAATTTAATTAAAGCATTTTTGCGAATTCTATATTAAAGAATGGCATTCCATTTCACATCATGCATTTGAATAATATTTTATTTACTGGCTGGACATGTCCATATTTTGTACATTTTTTTCCCTAAATTCCCATCAGGCCTTTATTATGATTTGTGTAATTTCACCTTTTCGTAAATAATCTCTTGTAATACGAATTGATGTTCCGACACCCCCCAGTGCCAATTTAGACAAGTAGCAAAACGTTTAAATGCCTCTTTAAATACCATAACCCCCCACTTAGACAAATGTCTTTTATGACCGTAAACATGTTGTCACGTTTCGGTCATAATATCTACATGACTTACTTTAAACTTGGCAGTTGGAGTCTAAACGACCTACGACACATAGACACACACACACATTTGACATATGAACCACACAAATGTTACAGTCCTGTTGTTTTTTTTGCACTTCCTCCTAAAAATAGGCAACAGTTGTTGCCGCTGCTGGGAAATGGTGGTGTTGATGACGGTTTTGTTTTGTCGTCTGCCTCTCCCTCCAAAATATTTAGGCCATGATTTATGTTAAATTTGTTTTTGTTCATGTTCACACATAAATGTGTTATAAAAATAAATGGTACGGGAATTTAGCACTATTGGGGAGAGGAGGAATATGGAGGTATTTTGGTTAAAAATAAATGTGACCGAATTTAAGACTAACGTACCCTGAACTCCGGTACTAAGTTTTGAAAAATAAATCAACAGTAGCTGAGTTTTTCAATAGAAAAACCATAATTCTCGTGACTCATATTATTCCATAGGAAATATCCACACTGACCGGGCACTAATTTTCCCCATAAGGAAAAATTCGTAGTCTCTAGAGACTGATTTTTTTTTGTGGGAAAAAATTCTTAGCCCCTGGGACTGAGGACCCTTGGACTGAGTTTTTTTAAAAGAGAATTCTCGAGAATCGAGAATGGCTAAGTTTTGGATATATCTCCCATATATATACTTAATACGATTTCAGGTTTATTATTAAATGCGTAGTCCTCCGGGAATTTAACATTTATATAATACTTAATCCTCGGCGACATGGAAATGCGTTCTATGGAGAAACTCAGTTCCTGGGGACTTTGACTTTTTTCTGTTAAAAAACTCAATCCCTGAAATTTTGAATATTTTTTTTTATTTTTTTGACCCCTAGAATCATTTCTATAGAAAAAGGCTCGATCCTCGGGGATTGCGGATTTTTTTTTCTATAGAAATCTTAAATTTTTTTCTATAAAATTCCTTAAATCGCCCCACAAAAAATCCCCCTTCGAATTATTTCAATATTTACCGTGATGATATTTTTAAGCAGCATGTAATGGCGTGTGAAAAATGAATATTAAAGATTATGGGCTTTAAAGATTTTGTGATTTTCATATTAAATTTTGTTGACAGTCTACAGTCTACTCCCCGGCATTGGAGAAGAAGAAGAAAAGGATGACGACGAAGAACAAGAGGAGACAAACATTTTGTCAAAGATTTTCAAAATCATATTATGGTATTTTAATAAGAGGATTTTCTTTTTAGCGATGCTCCAAAACGTGGGTGTGCTGTGAAAGAGAAACGTTTTTGCGTTGCTGTGATTTGCCAGGAGGCAAAATATCCATGGGAGCTAGGAGGCAAGGAGCAACCAAAAAAAGGAAACGATTTTTAAATTAAAATCCAAATGTGACCCGAGTCGCATGTGGTGGTGGTGGTGGGTGGGTGTGTGTGTGAAATTTGTCACTTAGCACAGAGGATAAGACGGCTATTGTCTGCAAGGTTACTTTTTTTGGGTGGTATACCTTTAGGCGTTCACATTGTTATTTGCTTCATTGTTGTATACTTTTGCAGGGAGGGGTGGGGTAAAAGTCAAATGGCTTTTAGATTTACAGATAAATTGATGAAAATCTTTTTATAAGGACTTTTCAAATGACCTTTAATTAGCTGATTGGTATTTAATGAAGCCAAAAATAGAAAAAAAATTCGATGGAGAATTTGGTACCATTTCCAAAATTTCTTGGGTTGAAAAAAATTATATTTTTTTTTCAGTCTAAAAATAATTGAATATTTTTGAAAATATTTTATAAATAATGTATTAGTTTCTATTGTCACTTGTAGTTTACTCCAAGACTGGCTAGTTTTTGTATAGAGGTAGTCTTTAACCCACTAAACACTGAGCTTTCGTTAATCCTTTGCACGTGTCTGAAACCGTGAACAAGTTTTAAGAATTCCCAAAAGTCTTCCTTGTTTCCCCAGAAACTAGGCCACCGACGACACCATTCTGATTCCCCCCATTTTCCACTAAATTATCCTTTATTGACTTAGTTCCTTACTTAATTATTATGTTTATTGATTTAGCCATTTGTACATCAGCAAGTCCTTACCAACCAACCAACGAACCAACCATTCTGTATGGCTGTGTGTGTGTCTCTCTCTATTATTTGTTATTATTTCATCAAGTCCTTACAACGACATCATCCACTCTCTACCACCAACCCGGCTATGTTGTGATGGTAAATTTTTGTTTGTTATTACTTTGTTAGCAGTACTTTATTGTTCTCCGACAGGGCATACAACAACAAACACAATACCCTACAAATCATGAAAAAAGGACATTAAGACATTCAGAGTAAATAAAGTCGTATCCTGTATGTTGTACTAACTGAAATTTATTATAACCATGCATCGAACTCAAACATACAGCATGATGTAGACAGAAAGTGAGGCATGAGTATGAGAGAAATAGAGAGAGTGTGTATCCCCATTATATTTTGTCTCTTGGTCATAGAGAGAACCAAGTGGTTATTGTAAGGGTGTAAGGGAAGGAGAGAGGGAAAACTTATATGGAATGTTTACTTTTTATTAATGACCACCTGCTGGATGTTATTGTAAGGATATGAGAAAAATACACCTAACAAAAATTTGTTATTTCTTATACTTTTTTATTCCGACTTTTTCGAAGTAGACTTCAGGAGAGGTTTTGTTCACAAATACCTTCGGCTTTCTATAGAAAACATGAGGGACTGTGGAATATTTTTGTCTAGAAAAAAAAGCTCAGTCAAGGTCCCTGCGGGTTTTTACAGAAAAAATAGGATTGCCGATTTCTTTTTCTATAGAAAAACTCAGTCCCCGTAAACTGTGGAATTTTTTCTTTAGTAAAAAATGAAATCTCTAGGGAAAGTATAATTTTTCTATAAAAACAACGACTCGAATTTCTTCCGTAGAAAAACCATGGAAAAGTAACTGCCTGGGGAATGTGGAATTTTTCTATGGAAAAACTTAGTCCTCGGAAACTTGCATTCTTTTCCATAGATGAATTAAGCCTTCGAGGTCTCTGAAACTTTCTCTACATAGAAAACTCTATAATAAAAACTCAGTCCCATATAGAAAAATAATCAGTTCTCTCGGAAGCAATAATTTTTTTAAGGAAAATACTTAGCTCCGCGGCACATTGAAAATTGTCCACATAAAAAACTCGATCCATTGGGCCTCTAGAATATTTTTCTATATAAAAATTCAGTCCTCTGGGACTTTAGAATTTTTTGTATAGAAA